CACAGCAAGGCTTCCCCTGACGGTCGTGGACCGAGACCGCCCCAGCCTTTTGGGACTACAGTGGTTCGCACCACTCGGAATCGAAGTGACGGGCATCGACCACGTCGCAGAGGCAGACTGGGAAGAGCAACTCGCAAGGGACTTCCAGGAAGTGTTCGACGGCACCCTAGGCAAGTACCGAGGGCCCCCCATTTAGACCCCAGCGTTCCCCCGATACGTTTAAAACCACGGCGGGTACCTTTCGCACTCCAGCCTAAGATCGATGAGCAGATAGACAAGCTCATCAAGCAGGGGGTCCTAGAGCCAACTGATCACGCCCGGTGGGAGACCCCCATAGTCACCCCAGTCAAGCCCGATGGGTCAGTGAGAATCTGTGGGGACTATAAGGCTACCCTAAATTGCGCCTTACAACAAAGCGCCTACCCCGTCCCAGTAGTGCAGCACCTCCTACACTCACTGGGGGGAGGCAAGGTTTTTGCGAAGCTCGACCTGGCACAAGCTTACCAACAGTTACCGGTCGACGCAGAAACCGCCGAGGCACAGACCATAGTAACCCACCGGGGGGCTTTCCGCTGTAAGAGACTCCAGTTTGGAGTCAGCGTAGCCCCAGGAATTTTCCAGAGCCTCATGGAAAGACTCCTACAAGGAATCAAGGGGGTGGTGCCCTACTTCGACGACGTACTGGTGTCAGCAGCCAACCAAAGAGAACTGGAGGGTCGCCTGAGGGAGGTACTAACAAAATTCAAAGAGGCCGGGCTTAAAGTCAAAAAAGAAAAATGCCAGCTGCATACAGAAAGGGTCGAGTTCCTAGGATATCTCCTAGACCGGCACGGCATTCACCCAACCGAAAAAAAAATCAGAGCCATCAAAGAAGCCTCCAGACCAAGGAACAAAACAGAACTGCAGGCATTTCTTGGACTGATTAATTTCTACAATGTTTTCCTACCCCAAAAGGCGACCACGGCGGAACCGTTGCATAGGCTGCTCGATAAAACAGCCATCTGGACCTGGGGGAAACGAGAGGAAACTGCTTTCAACCAAACCAAGGACCTACTCACATCGGATGCCGTCCTCACCCAATACAACGAGACCCTCCCGCTGACAGTCACGTGCGACGTCTCACCGTTTGGGATCGGGGCGATCCTCAGCCACACACTCCCAAACGGAAACGAAGCACCCATCGCCTTTTACTCAAGAACCTTGTCGAAGCCGGAAAGGAACTATAGCCAACTCGACAAGGAAGCCCTGGCAATCATCGCCGCCGTCAAGAGATTCCATGAGTACCTCTACGGCAGGACATTCACCATCATCACGGACCACAAGCCGTTGTTGGGCATCCTGGCAGGGAACAAGGCCACCCCGAACATTCTATCCCCAAGAATGACAAGGTGCTCTGAGTTCCTCGCCACCTACAGTTACCGGCTGATCCACCGACCCGGCAAAACGATCACACACGCAGACGCCTTGAGCCGCACACCGCTACCCGACCTGGACGCCGACCCAGCACCCACAACATCCACCTTGAGCATCGAGGCCATACCCAACCTCCCCCTAACCGCGTCAGACATTGCCCACGAAACCAATAAAGACAAACGTCTGGCGCGGGTATTACAATGGGCGGAGAAGGGCTGGCCGGAAAAGGACGTCGACGAGACATTCAGGACTTTTAAAAACAAACAATTGGAACTTTCCACGCAGAAGGGGTGTATATTATGGGGGGACAGGGTGGTAATCCCAGAAAAATTACAAAAAAGGTTCTTGGACTTGTTACATGAGGGGCACCCGGGAATCGTCAGGTCAAAAGCCTTGGCCAGAAGCTACGCTTGGTGGCCAGGGATGGACAAGCAAATTGAAGCCTGGGTGGCTAGCTGCAAGAAATGCCAGGAATCCAGACCATGCCCACCCGCCGCCCCAATCCGGGAGTGGGAAACCCCCAGGGGACCCTGGTCCAGGATACACATAGATTTTGCCGGACCCACAAAAGGACACACATTCCTCATAACGGTAGACGCTTACTCCAATTGGCTGGAGGTAAGCGACATGAAAACTACCACCACCGAGGCCGTCATCCGAGAACTCAACAAACTATTCTCAACCCACGGCCTCCCAGACGTGATCGTGTCAGATAACGGACCACAGTTCACCGCTCTGGAATTCGAAAAATTCCTAGCGGAACGGGGAATACGGCACTCCCTGACAGCGCCGGCTCATCCGGCGGCGAATGGTAGGGCGGAACGAATGGTCCAATTCACGAAAAAAACAATTCAAAAAATCGAGACTGGAAACATGCAGGAAAAAATAAATAAACTTCTTTTTATCCAGCACATAACCCCAAACACAATGACCAACAAAAGCCCCGCAGAACTCCTAATGGGGAGGAAACTAAGGTCCCCCCTGGATAGGCTGCACCCCACATACAACCCCGAAAAACCCGCCGATTCATCAAGCAGGTACCAAACATTTACACCAGGCGACGCGGTATACGCAAAAAACCTGAGAGGGGACCCCCTCTGGATACCGGCAACGATAACCCAAGCAACAGGTCCCTGCTCATACCGGCTACAAACAACCGACGGACAAGAATGGAAACGACACATCGATCAAATAAGATCAAGAACAACCACGGGAAACACAACCGACACGCAAACAAGCACAGACAGACACCCAGAAAGAGAAAGGAACCTCCCCAGCACAAACCAAGAGGGGAGGGAAGGCCCCGGGAACCAACCCCAACCAGAAAGAAACCAGGAATACTTACCAACCGAGAAAGAAACAGACACCCAGCTCGAAGCCTCACCAGAGAGAAGCAGCCAGGCCAGCTCAACCAGCCCGGAAAGACTGAGCGGGAGCAGCGACAACAGCAGCTCGACCAGCCCGGGTAGACCGGGAGGGAGCTGCAACGAAAGGCCCGGCTCACACTTCCAGGCGGTTCCATCGACGAGGCAGAGAGCGACACAGAACCCGACCGAACCGGCCGAAGGCCAACCAGCAACTAACCTGCGCAGGTCAAGTAGGCAAGTACGGAGCCCCGCCTACTTACGGGACTACGTTACGTAGGACCATACCAAGAGGGGAGGGGTGTTCTGTACGATCCATTAACATACTTGCAAGCGCCGCGCTGTGATTGGTCAGAACGCACGGCAATCGGATTGGCTGAGCGAGCCGCACTGATTGGCCCGCCGCAAATCCCCCGCGATTGGTGGAAACTAATCGCGGGAGATTCAAAGCGGTGCCATTGACTGCGGCCACTGCAGCCAGAGAATAAAAGCCGCCGCTTTTCTTCTGTAGCCCGAGCCGATCTCGGGACTTAATAAAGAGCTGAACTAAGTCACGGGCTCCCGAGTCTCCTTTCCCTGTGACGGACACGACACATGGCGCTGGAGGGACTTGCCCATGCACAGAAAGTCCCAGCCTCACGTGTCCATACTCTGTGTGAATGCTCGAGAAGGAGGAAGACAAGTTTTTCTTTCTCCCTCTCTTCTGACACACACTGCCCAGGCAGTTGAGCAGTGTCGTGTGGAGTAAGTGTCTTGCCAGCCAGCGCAGCCATGGGGCTCCTACCTCATACAAATGCAAGTTTGCAGAAACCCCAGGATTCCCGGATTTGGCTGCAAGAACTGCAGACAGCCTTCCTTCCCCACCACACACATCCTCCTCCCGCCACCCCATGCGAGGCAGGAGGCCCGAGAGAAAGTGCCTGTCCCAAAGACACAGCCCTCCACGATGGAGCCCTTCCCGGGGAACAAAACAAGAACATCCCAAAGGCGAGCTTCAGAGTGGTGGAGGCAGCGCTCTGGGAGGATGGCCCTCGGGGCTCTGGGAAATGGAAACCATCTTTTGCAGCACAGCAAAATTTACTTTAGCAACCGGGAGTTGCTGCTTTGGTTTCTGCAAGTCCCCCTCCCTTCGGGAGCCATTTCCTGATGTGGACTTGCAGGACCCAAAGCTAAATTTTGCTGTGCCGGGAAAGAAACTCTCGTTCTCCCAGCTAGACCAGCAGGGAGAGAAGCAGCTGCTGACCCCGCTGGACCCAACATGAGCCTCTCCACATGTTCTCCTGCTGCTTTTGCTGGGAGAGCGAAAATCTTGCACAGCGATAAGCTAAATTTTGCTTTGCCAAGAAAGACTCTCTCACTGTCCCAGATACACCAGCAGGGGAGAGAAGCAGCCACTGACCCCTCCGAGCTGACGGAGCTGCTCCATGTGTTCTCCCGCGAAGGCAAGTGGGGGGGAAGGTGACGGGCAGCGGCAGCAAAAGGCAAGGGGGGGGGGGAAAGGTGACAAGTGGCAACAGGTAGGCGACCAGGGCTTGCATGCAGAGCCTCACTTACCTAGGGAGATCATGGTGGAAGGCAGACAGCGATGGCTGGCCGGCGGGCGGGTGAAGGCAGACTGCAGGCAGCGATGGCACATGGCCACGATAAGGAGGTGCAGGGTTAGAATGCAGTTAATTTGTTGCACATGCGTGTGATATTGCGCATGCACAATAAGGACTGACTGGGCAGTGAGTGGAGAAGTGGGCGGAGAGGGGCGGGGCCAGCCAAGGGCCCGTTTTACCGGTTCTCCAAACTACTGGGAACTGTAACAACTGGTTCTATAGAACCGGACAGATCCGGTAGAATCCCACTCCTGCTTGTGACTCTGAAGTACCCTTACTTAATAAAGCAGAATATGTAGTACTAGCTGTGTCTATAGTGGGCATGCCAGCAATTGCTGCTCACGCTCACCTTAACATTAACTTTGTTGCATGTAATTTAGCAAAAACAATTAATGCTACTTCTTCAGCTATCTCAACAATCAACCACGAGATACAAGCGTTGAGGAAGGCTATTCTACAAAATCTATGTTGTTTTAATTTGTTTGATGAGAACCATCCAGCACCAGCTTAATATTTTACACAATTTGGCCTCGGATTTGAAAATTGATAATTTAGAATTTTGGTGGGAAAGCTTTTGGGCTCGGTTACCCACAGGCTTATGGGAAATATTTTGCATTATGTAGTCATTATTTGTGCTATTTTAATTAGTGGGTGCTGCTTTGTTCAATGTCTCCCTTCTCTTTGCAACATATGTATCACAGCTTTTTGCCCCAAACCCTCTCCTACATTGCCTCAGGGTCAGGTATATGCCCTGTATAAACAACTGCAAGGATACTCTTCTACTGATTATAATTCACTTACTAACCCCTTTTATGACTATGCCTTGTCTAACAAAATAAAAAAGAGTGAGACGTAGTAACAAAGGAGATCCTGTAGAGGGCGCATGCAGCACACTGCTGTGTCTAATAAAGGGGCCTCTTTGCATGATCTCACTCCCTGTCCTGGGTTGGAAAGTCCAGGACTTATACATAATCTCACCTTACTAACATCACCACTATTCTTAAGGATTGGTTGGGGGGGGGGGGGGGGGTTCACCAATCCAAATGCTGTATCTATGTTACCTTTGTCTTTGTCAGGGTTCCAGAATGTATCCGGTTTAATCAGTAACTCCGAGACAGACATAATCTCAAAGTGCTTTATTAAAAACAGGAACTTGCAACGTCTGTTTAATTTCAGAACTGAAATCATTCCCATACTTCCCACAAAATTCAACCTACACCCACCCACTTTTCTACACCTCATTTAATCACGTGAACCAATTACTCTGCAGATGCAATTACTTGCTGCGACACACTCAGTAACCTTGAACTTTCAAACGAAATCTTTTCCTCTAAGAACTATTCAATTACATCACCTCCCCCCACATTCTTCAACTCTGTGGCAGCGATGAATTCCAGAGCTGACAGGCATCTCCCCTTGAAAATCCCTTCTCCTATAAAGAAAAAAACAAAATAAAACACAAACAGGGGTTAATACGTTGTCCTTAACCTCCTCTCCCCACTCCACGAGGACCCTTCGGTTTGTGGGAAAAGTCCTCATGGAATTGGTTAACCAATTTATCAGCACGTACATCCCAACTTTTTACCCAACTAACATCTGATAGAAGAAACCCTTCCATAAGACCAAATATTGCAATCGTCCTCGATGTAATCTAGAATCGAGGATTTTCTTAATTTCATAAGGTGTCTCACCCTGTACAGTTAACGGTTCAGGGGGTGCGACTGGTGTTGGTCTTATCATTGATGTAGCAACTGGTTTTAATAAACTACTATGGAAAACTGGATGAATTTTCCCTAATAGTTGAGGCAGACTTAATTGGACCGTGACGCGATTGATTATTTTTGAAATCAGGAATGGACCCAAGTATTTTTGCCCCAGTTTCTTACTGGGCAGTTTCAATCTAAGATACTTGGTTGACAAATATACTCTGTCTCCCACTTTAAATGGTGGTTGAAGGGATCTATGTTTGTCCGCTTGCTTTTTGTAATCTTTTGCAGCTTCAGTCAAAGCTTTATTTGTATCTTCCCAACCTTTTCTTAATGAGTTCATCCATTCTGTTAGAGACATGGATGTGGGAGGTTCTTTAGGTAATTCTGGCATAGGGACAAAGTCCATCCCAGTGTTGATTTGGAATGGAGTCAGCCCTGTGCTGCTATGTACTGCATTATTATAAGCAACCTCTTCAAATGGTAATAATTCAGCCCAGTTTTCCTGTTGATAATTTACATAACATCTAATGTATTGTTCAACCATGGTGTTTGTCCGTTCTGCTGCTCCGTTGCAGGCCGGATGAAATGCGGAGGATAACCCTTGGGAGGACCCAAAGACTTCAAGAATTCCCTCCGGAACTTAGCAGTAAATTGTACCCCTCTGTCTGATATTATTCTACGAGGTACTCCATGTAGTCTATAGATATGCTTCATGAACAGTTTTGCAAGCTTTTCTGCAGATGGAAGTCCTTTACAGGCTGTAAAGTGGGCCTGCTTAGAGAATAAGTCAATGACAGTCCAAATGATTGTATTCCCTTCACTTTCAGGTAATTCTACGATAAAGTCCATTGCGATTTCTTCCCATGGCTGTGTTGGTTCAGCGACTTGTTGGAGGAGGCCAGGGGTTTTTCCAGTTCTGTGTTTCATCGTGGCACAAATTGAGCAACCTTTTACATAGTCCTCGATGTCAGGTTTCATTTTTGGCCACCAGAACTGTCTTCTTAGTAAATGTAGGGTTTTTAAGGACCCAAAGTGGGGGGGGGGGGTTTGAGAGGCAGCGGAAAGATGGTTTTCTTGGGGCTCCGAGAAAGCTGCCGATACCCCCGCAGCTAGACGGTCCCAGGGGACCTGGATTGTCCTGGTGAGATGGTGAGTGAAAGGAGCACATCCTGTCAATCCCAGGGATATTGCAAAGTCCCTGGTAGATCCAGGAAATCTCCAGCAGTCTGACAGCAGAGGGAAGCGGCCATTTATTGCGAACCGCTAAGAAGCTGTGCCAGCCCCAGAATGGAAGAAGAAAGAAGGAAAGAAAACAGTTTGTTGGTTTGGGTGAGAAACTTTTATTTCAAAAAACAAAGAAGAGTACACCAGATAAAAGAATTATTAAAGAAAGGGAAAACAGTAAAGCTAAGAATAGCGGCGAATGGCAAGAACTGTCAATCTTGTTTGGATTTTTTTTTAATTTCGTGGGGGGGAAAAAGTATTCTGTCTGGTTTCTTTGTTTAAATAACTGGATTGGACTGAGCTTAAAAACAAAAAGAAATTGAATCCTTTCTGCTTTTTCAGTTTAAACATACAAAGTACTTTTCCTTCTTTTTTTTCTTTTGTGACTTTCCCCTTTTACTTTTTACTTTCACTGGTTAGAGTATAGAGATACAGCGTTACTAAGGAACAATTATAAGGAAAGCTAAACAACACTGCCATCTGGAGGTCACATGAAAAATCTTCTTAAGAATAACAAACTAATTATTTTGACTACAGAGAAGTAGAGAAAGATAAGTCAGCACTGAAGACAGGTGCTGCCTTTAAAGTTGAATAAGATTAAGAGAAAGAAAGAACAGTGTGACCTTGAACAAGATATTTGCTTTTGGCTTTGGCTTTCTGGACTTACTGAATGTTACACTGATACTTTGTTTTACTTACGTACAATGGATTTATAAATTATAGCTGGCACCTTTCTTTTTTGTGTGTGCTTTGTCTTTGTTTTGTTTTTGACCATCCTATTTTTGCTGTAGTACATTTTGGATTTATTTTATTTTTTCTCCTTCCCCCTCTCCTGGCTTATGTTATTTTTTGGACCAATTTTTTAATATGGATTAATTTTGGATTGGGTTTTTTTAAAATCTTTTTTTTTGATATTTCTCTTTTTTTTACTTTTTCTTCTTCCCATTATTGATTGATTGACTAGTAAGTGGATTATCTTGGCATTCCTTTTTTTTTCTTTCTTTCTATTTTACGTAGAAGTGGATGGATTTGCATTGCTATTTTTTCCCCCTCTTATTTTTGGGAGGAATTTTTCCTCTGATCTTCTTATTGGGCTTTTTGAATCTTACAGGTTTTTTTTTTGCTATTGGACTACATCGATTCTATCATTGGTTTTTGGTTTTTCTTTTTGTCTTCTTCTTTTTCTCCTTTTTTTTCCTCTTCTTTTTGATCCCCTTTTTTATTGGATAAAATTGGATTAAGGTAGAGAAGAATTTGAAGATTGGTTTTTATTTTCCCTTGGGTCTTTGCGAATGGATTATAATTTGATTTGACATGAGTAAGAGAATACCTACAGGATCATCAATTCCTACTTCCTCATCACTGAGCCCAGCTGGTCAATGATCTATTACTACGACGTTCTGACAGGAGAAAGAAAAAGAAAAAGAAAAGGAGACTTCCATGCAAGAAATTAAGTCTATGTTACAAGTAATACAAGACTAAGGGAAGCGTGCAGAAGATAGAATGGAGAAGTTAGAGGAAAGGATGGAGAAAATGGAAGGAAATATACAACAGGTATTAACGATATATGGAGAAAAAAAACAGAAGTTGGAAGAAAGAGGTGATAAAACAGACAAGAAAGTGGGAGAAATAGATAATAGATTGACAAGGGTCGAAAGCGAGAAAGGGAAAGATTCAATATCTTGGGAAATGGAAAAAGCTGATTTCTATCTAAGATTTCAAAATATTGAGGAAGAAAAGGGAGAAAATCTTAAAGAAATTATGACAGAAATACTAGCGGAACCCTTGGAGATGACCAAGGAAAAGGTGATGGATGGAATGGATGAAATATATCGAGTATTTACCAGATATGCAATGAGAAACAAATTACCCAGAGAAGTACATGTGAGATTTACCAAGAAAACAATAAGAACTGAGATACTGCAGAAGGCAAGAGACAATCTATTGAAGTACAAAGGAAAAAACATTATAGCTTTGAAACAAATACCAAGAAAAGTGAGAGATTTAAGAAGAGAATATCAATTCTTGACAAAGATGTTAATCAAAAAAGAAATTAACTATAGATGGTTGATTCCGGAAGGTTTGACATTTATTTGGTGAGAACAAAGACACAGAATTGACTCGGTGGAGAGTGCAGAATTATTCTATGATGAATACTTTGGAGGAACAGAAGACGAGAGAGCAAGAGAAGAGGAACTTAAAATGCGAGTAGAAATGGCAAAGGAAATGGAGAAGGAACAAAGGGAGGAGAGGAGACAGGAGGAAGGAGCAGTAGGTGGCCAAATGATAATTACAGAACCAAGGGAACAGAGAACAACAAGAGCAATAAATCCTAACTATAAAGTATAAATAATAATGGAAGAGGAAAAGAAACTGATTTCGATAAATATAAATGGATTAAATTCAGCTATTAAAAGGAAAAAGATATTCTATAAGCTAGGTAAGTTAAATATGGATATAATTTCCTTACAAGAAGTGCATATCAAAAGACAACACGCACTTTTGTTGAATTGTTCTAGAATTGGGACTATATTTACATCACTGGCACAACAAAATAAAAGAGGAGTCGTCTTATATATTAGAAATACAATTAAAGCCAAGCAAATCTATGCAGATGAAGAAGGAAGAATATTGATGGTTGAAATAACAGATAATAACTCAAAAGTACTTTTAATCGCAATCTATGCTCCCAATAACCAGCAAGACCAATTCTATAAAAATCTACATGATAAAATAATTGAACTGGATTATGATAAGATATGCATTCT